GAGAGAGAGAGAGAGAGAGAGGAGAGAGGGAGAGAGGGAGAGAGGGAGCGAGGGATAAAGTGAGAGAGCCATTGGAAGAACAGAAGTGAGGGTCATGATGGAGAGAGGAGTGGTGTGTGTGTGTGAGAGAGAGAGAGATAGAGAGAGAGAGAGAGAGAGAGAGAGAGAGAGAGAGAGAGAGAGAGAGAGAGAGAGAGAGAGAAGAGAGAGAGGATGAGAGAGAGAGGGGAAGAGAGAGAGAGAGAGAGAGAGAGAGAGAGAGAGAGAGAGAGAGAGAGAGTGAGAGAGAGAAAACAAAAGAGGGGGCAGTAGATAGAGAGCGAGGAAGAGAGAGTGGTAGTGTATGTGTGTGTGTGTGTGAGAGAGAGATAGATACCGATGCGAAAGATACGGATGCATCTCTCTCGCTCCCTCTCTCTATTTCTCTCGCGCTCTCATCTATTTTCTTTCAATCACTCTTTGTCTTTCAATCACTCTTTATCACTATCTCTCCAAGATGGTCCATCTCTTCTTCTCACTCACAATCATGCTGCTGAACAGGATGCCTCCTTTGAAGAGCAGACGAATCCGCATGCGACTCCTATGCGGCTCGTACAAGAAACGGATGCACGCCTTGCCACGGTGGATGACAGCTCCCGTCTGCATAATGCGTGTCGGATTGTCTGTGGCAATGGGCGGAAAGGGCATTGCCACTCTCGCGGATTTGTTGATTGTCTTCATGCTAGTGGCACCACGTGTGACTGATTGGCTAATCCGGGTGGCTAAAAACTCAGGTACACGCACTAGTACGTCTGTAGCATGCAACCGCGTTTGTAAACCATAAGCGTTACAACTCCCTCTCTTCACGCCAGGTCGTGGTGGAGGACGGGCTGCGGATGTTGTCGCGATGCATCGTGAAGCAGCAACGTCATCATTTTGGAAGCGCATGAACGGCAAACCAGGATCCATCGAAGAAGTGGTGCAGCGGGAGGGAGGTGATACCCAAGGGGTGGAGTACCACTTTCCGAGATGGGTGAAAAACTCTCTGGGGTTGCCTGTGCTCATGCGGCATCCAGCGAGTCCATCACGTGGCGCAAATGAAGGTGAGTGAGGGTGCAAATGTACAGGGAAATGCAAGTGGTAGGAGTGTAACATGGTATGCTATGATAGTACTTGACAAGCCTCCCCTTTGCCAACCCCCAATGCCCTCTAAATAGGAACTCACTCCACCCTCCCCTCCTCGGAAGAAGCCGACCGCGTGGACGGGGAGTCAGAAGTGAGTGGGATGTCAGGAGATGGTGATGAGGGACGGATGAACAACAATGATAGTGACGATCCTGAATCGATAACAGAATCTGCGGGATCGCGAAGGCGTGATGGGGGGGAAGCTGAGAACACAACTGCAGAGAGCGGACTTGATTCTCCACAGGCAGCGGCATCGCCTACGTTGCCAGACAGGTACCATAACCATTATCCCCCCCTCCTTCCTCGAACACTTTGAGCCACCTCCCCCAAACCCCCTCTCACCTTCCGTTCCCCCATCCGATACCCAATCCGTTTCCATCAAACCATCATACGCAGGACATGGGACAACTTGAGGCACGCAGGACGGGTACCACGAGGTTGGCCTGATGCCCCTTGCATCGACACAATTCCTGATGGCAAGGTGTGCTTTCTCGATCCACGAGAGTTGATCAAGTTCTTCCGGGACCACAAACTGAGGTGTTGCAAGAAGACGACATGTCACGGCTCAATGCATTTGCGCACTTGGGATTTTGCATGGGCATGCTTTGGGCAGCTATGGATGTGTGATGCTTGTGGAGGGAAGACCGTGCTGTGGTCTACGAGCAGAGTGCGTGACGATTTACCACAAAGCAAGACAGGTCCACGTAGCCCACCAATGTTCATGAAGCTGCTAGGCGCCTTTACACTAGCGGGTCTAGGTTTTCAGGTCATGTGGGAGGTCTGTCGTCACTTGGGGCTTCCCCCACCTGGTCACGGGACCTATTTCAGGAAAATGGGAGGTGAGAATGGATTGTGGAGTGTGATCATCCGAACAGCGCACGCATGTATGGCCGCGGTACGGGAGGGCATTAGTCAAAGACCAGAGCTTGGAGAGAGCGTTTGCATTGATGGGAGATGGTCCCACGTGCGCGAGGCTGGATGGTGCACCGTTTCATTCATGGATGATGCTTCACGTAAAATCATCTACTACAAGAACACTAGGTTGGGCATCGATGCCGATTCATCTGTTGGCCTAGAGCGGGTTGGTTTTTACCGTGGATTGGAGGACTTAGAGGGTCTAGGGCATCCAGTCACGAGCATTGTCACGGATGGTAACAGCACGTATACAAGAGCTGCAGCAGATTTGGGCCTGAGGCACCAGGAGGACTGGTGGCATAGGATCGGCAACGCGAAGAAGGGTTTTAGGAAAAATGTCCAGGATCTCCAGTGGACATGTGACAATGTAGATGCGGCAGAGGTATGCAACCAATTATGGATTCTGACCGTGGCCAAGCTGCGGAACTGGCTCGGGCAACCAGGTCGAAATGTGTCTATGCGGGGGGGCAGCAGCAAGGCACCGCTGGTGCAGGCAATTTGTCGAATGCGGGGCATGCCTTATAGGGAGATGACTAGTGCAGATGCCAAGTGGAAGTTCCCCGAGTTGCGAAAGGTATTGCTAGTCGATGGAACAGGTGCAGCTGCAGCATCCGATCTCCCTACCGCCAGCGCCACAGCGGACGTGGAAGATGGGGATGTTGAGACTCGAGGGGATAGTGACGCTGGAGTGGGAGTGGAGGAGGATGACGTAGGCCCGTTGTGGGATTATGATGGGTATGCGGGATTTGGGATCCGGCCGACTACCCTGGCATCAGCTATTCTCGTTCAAGCATGGTCTGGGGTGGAGGAAGTGGATCTGCTGCGGGGCAGCAATGCAACGACGCATTCGCCAAATAGCACCGGTTCTCATATTGCAGGTATTGTTTCTCGGTATTTTACATGTTCAAACCCCTTTCCCTGCTCTCACTCCTCGCTGGACCCGCATGCATGGCCTTCATTTTTAGTCGCACACATTCTACTACGTGCGTCAACATCCTTATACACTACATTTCACTGCGTAACTGTATCGCAGGAGCGGAGGGGGCCCATGTAGCTGAGGAACATGCGGCTACAAGTTTTGCAGCTACGGATGATAATGCACAACAAGGGGCGTCACCGTCAGCAGTACCCATCTGGGGACCACGAGGTGCACGGTCGCGCACAGGACGTCTAGGAGGCCGGGTGAAGGAGGTTGATGTGGCAGACAGGTTCGGCACCCACATGGCACACGTCATGCTGCGATGCGGAGCACGGAAAAAGGCGAGGAACCCTATGTCGCCCGAGGAGGTGTCTCACGAGATCTGTCTCGCAGCCGACCACTGGGCTGGGGATCATCGACGTTGCGCACGTGCAGGTCTTGATCCGAGGTGTGTTCGGGAAAACTGGGGTCGGACACAGGCACTTTATCTGCCTAACTCTGGTGCTCATCGTGAAGTTACGCGCTACCTTGCTGATAACTTTTCACCGGACAAGGTGGTGACGATAGTGGACGGTGCGACGAGCTCAATGAACGAATCTTTCCACTCGATAATTTTGAAGTACGCACCCAAACGCCTCCGTCTTCAAGGCAGCTATGAGGCTCGGATAGCCTTAGCTGTGTTACACTGGAATAACACGATGGACCGGCTTGTAAAAGCATATATAACGCGGGCACGGCAAATCACGAGGGTGCGGCGTGGTCGGCACGATAGGGTGTTAGGCCCGATGTGTTGGTCGTGGGTGGACGACATGCTTCGAGATTGGATGTACGGCTCTCCTCATGCTCTCTTCGAGCACGATTCTGACATTGCTGGGGCTGTTCGGGGACAAGCGCGTCGACGTCTTTCGCCTGAGTATCTGCCCACGAGCGACGGCACCTGGGCCCCTACCATCTGACTGAGTTCCAAGGTGTTCTGCACGCTTTTGATTTCCAGGTGTGTCCATCACTATCCACGAGCGCATCACAGGCCACACCACGACGCTGCCCACCCGAGCTTCTCTCTTTCTGCTTTCCTACCCTCACTGTCCACCTCTCCTCCTCCGCCCACCCCTCTACACGCCTCCCTCCCTACTGTTCTGCCCTCACCATTGTTCGTCCCTCCCCAATATTCTGCCCTCCCCACTGTTCTGCCTACCCCACTGTTCTGCCCGCCCCACTGTTCTGCCCACCCCACTGTTCTGCCCTCCCCACTGTTCTGCCCACCCCACTGTTCTGCCCGCCCCACTGTTCTGCCCACCCCACAGTTCTGCCCTCCCCAATGTTCTGCCCACCCCACTGTTCTGCCCTCCCCACTGTTCTGCCCACCGTATTGTTCTGCCCTCCCCACTGTTTTTGCCTCCCCATTTTTCTGCCCTCATCCCTGTTCCGTCCCCCCCAATGTTCTCCCCTCCCATTGTGTTGCCCTCCCCACTGTTCTGCCCTCCAACTGTATTGCCCTCCCCACTGTTCTGTCCCCCCCCCCCCCCCCCCTCTCTGTCCACCTCTTCAACTCCGCCCATCCCTCTCCCCCCCTCTCTGCCCACCCCACATCTCTCCCTCTCTCTATCCAATGGAAGGCCCCTCCATACTTTGCCATATATGTTCTCGCATCCTCCCTTCTCATTTTCCGTGCTCACCTTCCACATGCTATGCTCACCCCTCATCTCCTTTGCCCTCTCCAAAACTCCTATGCTCGCGCCGTCTATCCCATTCTCTCCCTCTCCGTGTCGCATTCTCTCCCGCCCTCTCTCACCCACGCTTGGGTTTCTGCAGCAGCCACGGAATTGATGCGGCCGAGTAGGGTGTTGATGAAGCACCCATAGATTGGTGGGTTGGTGGAGTTGTGAGCTCACACGGATGTCTGGAGTGTTGGTGATACGGAGATTGTTTGATGACTCTGCACCACCCTAGTATCGCTGCTGTGCATGTGGTGGATTCTGTTGCGCTCATATATTTCATTTGGGCACTTTGAGTAGTATTATTCATGATTAGGGGAGGGGAGGCTTCTCAAATCGCTACCTGATGTATCATATCATATCTGAGAAAGGCATTTATAGTGTTGCAAATCAGCGATAATATCTCCCCAACCACTAAACCGGCCCCATACTCCGATCTCCATGGAGGCTCTTGTCTCTGTTCACTGTAGAGGAAGGGCAGCGTGGGATAGGGGGGGATGTGCACGGTGAAGAAGTGTGTAGGGAGATGGGCATTGACGGAGAGTATGGGATGGGGGGAGAGGGTGAGAATGGGTGTAAAGAGAGGGTTGGGGCATGGGAGGGTGGGCACATAGAAGGCGTATGAAGGGACCTGGGTTGATATCACGGCGAGGGCTGGACAGCCAGCGAGAGGGGGATGGGGAGGATGTTTGGCATGCCAACGACAGCTCTCTCTCCCTCCCCTGCAGCTCTCCTCTCTCCCTCCCCTGCAACTTTCCTCTCTCCCCTGCTCTACCGCCTCTCCCACTCCCCTGATCTCACTCCTCTCCCCAGCCCCTGCTCACACTCCCTCTCCCTCCCCTGCCTTCACTCCACCCTTCCTCCCCTGCTCGCACTCCTCTCCCCCTCCCCTGCCCTCTCTCCTCTCCCCTTTGCCCACGTTCACTCCTCTCCCCATCCCCTGCTCTCACCTCCCCATCCACGTTCACTCCTCTCCCCATCCCCTGATACACTACATTTCACTACATCCTCCCTCCCTCCCCTGCTCTCACTCCTCTTCCCCTCCCCTGCTGCCACTCCTCTCCCCATCCCCTGCTCTCACTCCCTCTCTCCCTCCCCTGCCCTCACTCCTCCCTCCCTACCCTGCTCTCACTCCTCTTCCCCTCCCCTGCTGCCACTCCTCTCCCCATCCCCTGCTCTCACTCCCTCTCTCCCTCCCCTGCCCTCACTCCTCCCTCCCTCCCCTGCTCTCACTCCTCTTCCCCTCCCCTGCTGCCACTCCTCTCCCCATCCCCTGCTCTCACTCCCTCTCTCCCTCCCCTGCTCTCACTCCATCTCCCCATCCCCTGCTCCTACTCCCTCTCTCCCTCCCCTGCCCTCACTACTCCCTCCCTCCCCTGCTCTCACTCCTCTTCCCCTCCCCTGCTGCCACTCCTCTCCCCATCCCCTGCTCTCATTCCCTCTCTCCCTCCCCTGCCCTCACTCCTCCCTCCCTCCCCTGCTCGCACTCCTCTTCCCCTCCCCTGCTGCATACACTCCTCTCCCCATCCCCTGCTCTCACTCCCTCTCTCCCTCCCCTGCCCTCACACCTCCCCCCCTCACCTGCTCGCACTCCTCTCCCCCTCACCTGCTCGCACTCCTCTCCCCCTCACCTGCTCGTACTCCTCTCCCCCTCTACTGCACTTGCTCTCACCCCTCTCCCCTTTCCCCTTCCGCTGCCCCTGCTCTCGCTCCCGCGCTCACGATGCTCCCTCCCGCGCTCACGCTGCTCCCTCCCGCGCTCACGCTGCTCCCTCCCGCGCGATCACGCTGCTCCCCCCCACGCGATCACGCCGCTCTCCCTCCCGCGCGACCCGCGCGCTGACGCCGCTCTCCCTCCCGCGCGCTCACGCCCCTCTCCCTCCCGCGCGCTGACGCCGCTCTCCCTCCCGCGCGCTCACTCCGCTCTCCCTCCCGCGCGCGCGCGCCGCTCTCCCTCCGGCCCTCACTCCGCTCTCCCTCCCGCGAGCTCACTCCGCTCTCCCTCCCGCGCTCACTCCGCGCTTCCTCCCGCGCGCTCACTCCGCCCTCCCTCCCCTGCCCTCACTGTTTCCTCCTTGCTTTCGCCTCAGCCACTAGGTTCTGTCGCGTCACTCCGTCCCTGCTATCGCGTCTCTCCTTCCCTGCTATCGTGTCTCTCCGTCCCTGCTCCTGCGTCACTCCGTCCCTGCTATCGCGTCTCTCCGTCCCTGCTATCGCGTATCTTAGTCCCTGCTATCGTGTCTCTCCGTCCCTGCTCCCGCGTCACTTCGTCCCTCGGGATAAATTATGCGCGGTTCGCACTGCTTAGCCGGTCGTCACGGGATCTGCGGCACTATCGCTATCATTCCTTATGGCGCGAAGTTTCGTCTAGAGCTTGGCTACGCGCGCGAGAAACCTATTATGCTGGCTAGTTTCTAGTCACTGGTCGGTCTCGCCTGGGTCCCAATTTACAAAAATTGATAGCAACTTTCCCTTAGCCATTTGTGCTGAGAGAGAGCCAGGGGTTGGGCTGCTTGGGCGAAGGTGTTTGCTTGCCCTTTCAACCAATCACGAGCCCTCTTTTACAACCAACGCGTCATTGTTCAGTTTCATCCGGGTGCATGGGGTTACCAACATTTTGGCGCCTCGATATTGCTAGCAAAAAATCTCGCGCCTTGCAACTTGGGATCTGGGCTTTAAGGCAAACTCTGCCCAATTGCCACCAGCGCCTAGCACGCTATTCAAATAGTGTTACTCTGTCGGAATCGCTCCACACTTTCCCAAGCGCTCTCGCTTTAGCATTCCTTCACCCTCCGCGCCTCTCCCGCTCTCCGCCCTCTCTTCGCGTCTCTCTCCTTCCCGCCTCTCTCTCTCCCAGCTTCTCTTTTCCCACCTCCCTCCCTCTGCGTCTCTCCCTCTCCCCGCATCTCTCCCTCTCCTCGTCTCTCTCTCTCCCTGCTTCTCTCCCCACGCGCTACCTCCATTGTCTTCGTTCACTCTGTTCATTCCTTTTATCTGCCTCCTTCCACCGTCCTTTATACATTCCTCCCCTCTTGTTTTCTTTCCTATCTCTTCCTTTCTTCAAGTTGCCTGCTGTCCTATCACATTCAAATCTCTATTATGTCTAACAGCTCTCTGTGCCCCCTTCCCCCCTCCACCCCTCGCCGTTTTCCTCTCAGGTGTTAGTTTTGCGCTGCACTGATTGGGTGACCAGCATTTGTCAATTTTGAGCGGGAGAGCCAATAACAACAGAATGTATGGCCTCAAGAGCATTTGACAGAAACGCAAGCAACATCAGCGCTTGCACAAACTGCAGCTCTTGCACAGACAACCGTAAAGCAAAACAGGGTGTAGGTGACTGTGTATATTGTGGACATGATAAGTTGGACATCAAACAAGAGTACTCCATGCAAGACAAGCACTTATTCAGTGCGGGGCAAATGCCTACCAGTACGCCAATGACTCAGTCTCATCATGATTGGTCCTCTGGCTTTTATTCCACGTTTCTACACTACGCTTTCGTGTCGGCAACACCTCCTCGCAACGCGCCCTTGTGTTCAAAAGTTACCGCTGCTCTCGTATGTCGTTCCAGCGCTCCACTTCACTGGAATGATATCAGTCAGCACCGCCTGCGACCCACCCCCCACCGCCGTCACGCGCACGCTCACCTTCCTCCCCGCATCCACGATCTCCTTGGCGGGATTCATGATCCACGTGGCGCTCTCTCCCTGCGCGCTCATGCTCTTCCAGCTGCTCCCGTCCTTCGAGATCTCCACCTTCTCCACCCCGCCGGCCTTCGCGCCGCCCAGAATCTGAACCGCGAACCAGTACGCGTTGCTCCCGGGCATGATCTTGACCGCCATGTTGGCGCTCTTAGGGCAGTCTACGCTGCGGTACTTAATCTCCACGCGGCCCGCGGACCGGTCGCGCACGATTTTGTCCCACGCGGTCGAGGAGAGGAGGAAATCGTCGCCTTGCTTCCCAACGGCTCGAACCGTCACGCTGCCGCTCTTGCAGCTCGGGTTGTTCTTGCAGGAAACCTCGTAGCACGTGCCGCAGCCCTTGCCGCCGTTGTACTTGCTCTGAGGCACGTACGCGGTTAGACCGTTGTAGAAAAACGGGCTGTCGCGGAAATTGCCTTCGTAATTGCACGCGCCGCCTCCGTAGTTGATTCCCTCGCTGTAGGTAGTGGAAATGGCGCTGGCGGGAGTGAGGGCAAGAGCTAACAGGAAGAACACGAGGCACAGCACGCCGCTGACCTTGGAAACGAGAGCCATCGCGGAGTATTGCGTGAGAGGGACAGAAATCGCTGAGTTACTTGGCTGCAGAGAGCTCTTAGTAGTTCAGAGAGGGAAGTAGCGCCTTTAGAATGAGCAAGCGGGCTGGGAAAATGATACTCAATAACTAGACGAGGTGAAGATGAATTGAGTGATGAAAGGAAAGAAATAGCTGGATTATGTAGTACTGAGCCATTGCGTCGAGCCAAGCTGGAACGGGAATAGTCGGCGTTGCACACCCAAGAGCGGCTTCGAGCCGCTATTGGGTGAATGCGTTTTCGGCTGCGCTCCGGAAGGTTGCATCGCGCTTCGTTTGCCTTGCAGGTGTAAACATCCACAATTATTGCCCCCAAACTGACGGAGAATGGACGGCGAGGCTGACGGAACAATATCCTTCTGTTAGAAATAGAGGCGTGCGCAGAGGAAACTCGGCGACAATATTGCCGAGCAAACGATGTCGTTCCGTCAGGTCTTCGGTCATGGAGGAAATTTCTGTCTGCCGTAATGAACGACTATTGCACCTTCACGACGTCGCAGGTACTCGGATTCGTTCACTCGCTGCGCAGCCGACAAGAAAGGACCACAATTATTGCCGAGCTGACTGCGTTGATGCGATTCAAGCGGGCTGGCGAGAAACGAAACTGTCGAAGTGCCTTGCGACAATGACGAAAAATCGCGACAATGACCATGTGCCTGCAAACTCCCCTGCCTGGAATCAAGGGCCGCCGACAGGGCCTAATTGTTCACCGATCATGAGGGTAACAGCTAGCTTTGTTGTAACCATATCTTTTCCCTCGTGATTGTAAGGAATTCCGATTCCTTACAGGGACTCGCCACAGCGAGTACCGCGAACAGTGCGGGTCCGCAGGCTCGGCCCTGGTTTATCGCGCCAAACCAGCCCCCGACGACCTTTCGGCCCCAACCTGGCCCCGAGTCGCTCCGAACCCGTTTTGACCCCGTCACCCTCGGACGACCGAGCCCTTGACTGGTCCAACCCTCGACATTTCGACCTGCTCAACTCGCACTATATAAGCCCTAGGTCTCATTATTCAGGAGGATTCTGTAATCATGTTCCCTTATAGTATTCTGCGCTATACTCTGAGTTATAATTCATAACAGCGGGTATCAGAGCCCCGATTCTGCCCATCTAGTTTCCGATAGGGGAGCAGACCCTATCGGGGAAGGGGGCGGAAGGATGCTGATGGCGAGCGCACGTCGAGGAAATTAATTGCGCGGGCGTTGCCGATGCCGTCTGATCTTGTCCGATGGACGGCTGGGATTGGCCGGTCCTCCCCTTCCCCGGGCGTAGACGGAATTGTTCCCCGTCGAAAGAGTGGACGACGTTTTCGCCGTGTTTTTCGGGTATGTTCGTTAGTGTTTCAGAATTTTCGGGAGTTTCTAGCGAAGTGTTCGGATTGGCTTCCGAAAATAGCGAGGAGTCGTCGGGCGGCCGGGAGTTTGGTCGTCGCGAAGAGACAAGTGCACGGGAGTCCTCAGGCGGCCGGGAGATGGTCGTCAGGAACGCGCGGGGTGGCGAAAATGGCGGGATGCACCGCGATGGGCGTTTGTCGTGGCATGTAGCTGCATGGTGAAATACAGTTGCGTCGCTGGCGTCGGCGTTTCCGGCAGGCTAGTTGCAGGCGATGGACGGGACTTCGACACTATTTCGGCAATGGGCGGATCCGACAAATTCGGAATGACACGATCGCATGAAGTTGTGTGGGTGTGCAGTTGTGTGGGAGCAGCTGGGATTAACGACCTCGGCGCTATACACTACGACGGCCATCTGGAGGTGATGACGCTGTGCTGGAGTGAGTGTACTCAGCAAGGGCGACTTCCCTCGTGGGGAGGCGTTTTTCGTGGACCAGCGATTCATACCCCCACGATCAACGGAAATGGAGGCCACCACCCCCGGGTGTGTATTAAGTGTTTTCCACCGGTTGCCGAATGCGTTACGTGTCAAGAGCTAAGCAGTGGGAGAAGAACGACGGGAGTACTGGAGCAGATGGGTTAGCGGCGTTCGGGCTGCTACCCGCTCAGCTACGTCGCCCGGAAATCACCATTCCCACCAGGTAGCAGTGTCGACTTGTTAATCGACGGCTCTTGGATGAATAAGGGGGGTGAACCTGTAAACTACACTGTGCTGATGGAGTGTCCCTGAAGAAGAAAACGAAAAAAAAAAGGGGGAGTTACTGTTGCAGTGGAGCTGAGGGAGTTTACCTGGTGCGGCAGGAGGAGGTTCCGACTTTTGCGGGTGTAGTTTGACGAGTTTCCGACGGAGGCGGGAGCGGTCCAGCGGTCAGTAGGCGAGCTCGTTAAAGCTCCTCTGACTAGAAGCGTGCGCACTCCTATCTCTGCGGATTCTCCTAGTTAGTTAAGCAGCAGCGAAGCGGTTTTGGGTAACCTGCAGCAGCCGCGAGATGGGTGAACGTCTGCGCCGCTAGCTGGCAGGGGTACCAGAGTATTTGAACATTGGGTAACAGCTGGGCGGAGATCAACGGCGAATGATGCGCATTGACCCTGATCGACGGCCAAAACATCATGCCGAAGCGGTGGACTCTGGCAAAACCCTAAGATAAAGGGTTCAGTTCATGCGTACATCTGGTGGAGAAACCGTTGGGGCGCTGCTAAAGGACGCCGTGCCACCTGGGCATTTCTACGGATAGTTGTGAAGCGTAGTTACGGTATCTACTAAGTACTGCGTGGTTCCGACATTTTCGGAGAGTTTGTGCAGCAGTTCGAGCGTTTACAACTGGAGTTGTGCCCGCAATCTTCAGGGGTACGAGAGACATCGACCGACATTCGCGGAGTGTTTTAGTTGTATGGAGCAGAGGGGGAGCAATAGCAATTTCGGCTCTTCCCGAAAATTTCGGCGTGTACGGACAAAAAGTCGGATGCAGCTGGTTTCATCTGAAATCGGGTTCTGTTCGAGGATATTCACGGGAGTGGTTTCGGTACAAGTTACAGGTCCTCGCCAACGTAGTCTTCCTCTCGCCACCACCCGCTACCACCCCCATTCTCAACTCGCCCGACACTGTGAGCACGACCCCACCGCATCCTCGCCACCCATCAGGAGCAGTATCGGATTTAACAGGACATTTTGCAGCAGTACTGCGGAGCTGTGTTGGGACCAGCTCGCAAGCTGTGTTAAAAAACATAGTGTGGGAGTCTTCTGACGCAGTTGTTGTGGGATTTCAAGACTACTGGAACGGTTTTACCCTGCGGAGACATTTCAAGTTTGGAGCATCATTTGGTACTTCTCTCGATTGGAGTTTTGCAGCGGCATCCTGGAAGCTGAGTTCGGGGGTTTTCAGCAGCGGTTCGGGCTTATTTCGACGCCCCCGGAGCCTTGGGTTTTCTTCGGTTTTACCTGGGATATTCGGAGCTGCTTTCTTTTGAAGAGGGGAGAAGGGCAGCTGTGCTGCAATTTTCCGACGATTTTCCGGCGTGTTCCATTAACCATTTGTGACCGACATTCGTCATCGTTACGCTTCCGCGCCTGATTTCGTCACTTCGTTGATGGAGTTCGCTGACTTTCGTGGGACACGGACGCGCGCTCTCGCATGTGACTCGAACGACCTCGCATTTGACGAATGGGTTCTTCATTTCATTGACCATCACGATATTCGCCCGTCATTATTTCAAGAAATTCAGCTGCCAGGCCCCATCATCAATCGACCACTCGACGGTTTCACTGTTCATTGTCTTCAGCTGGAGTATTTTATCAAACTGAGAGAACTGAATGATTGACTAGTGGGAGAGTACAGATAGATATACCTAAGTATTGTTCCCACTTCGAGGTGACCCTATACAGTCTATGCAAACATAACAACTACACATGTTTGACACACCCCCTAGACTGCAAAGGGGAATGTCCTGAACAAGCAGCTCAGGGCGGCACTACTAGTCCAACCTCTGAGACAAAGGTCTAAAAGACCAGTCAGAAGGAGTACAGACAAGGCGAGAACAAGACCAGGGCGGCACTACTAGTCCAGCCACTGGGAGAGGACACAAGTCCAGTCTGAGTATACATATAAAGGACAGTACAAAGTCAAGGCCCTAGCAAGTGAGAGGCTACAGGAACTAGACCAAGCTGTACACAGTGCCGCTGATGATCTTTAGGCGCAAGCGCCTTCGTAAAGATATCAGCTGTGTTGGCACCTGAGGCCAAGTGTACTACACGAGCCTGGCGTCGCTGCTGTAGCTCACGCAGGAGGAAGTACCGCAGCTGAATATGCTTCGCTCTGCCCTCGAGTCGAGGCTCCTGACACAGGAGGATCATGGCCCTGTTGTCAGCGAACAGGACCGGGGCAGAGCTAGGCCGCTCACCTAAGTCAGTGAGCAAGAAGGTCAGCCAGCGGAGCTCTTGTGCCGCCATGGCACCAGCGTAGATCTCAGCCTCACAGCTGGACTGCGCAACAGACGAGGAGCGGGTAGCTCTCCACGAGACGGCACCTGAGCCAAGGCTGAAACAGTAGCCCTGGGTAGACCTGAGTGTCTCGGCGTCGTCTGCCCACGAAGCGTCAGTGTGTCCAGTAAGGACCACTGGCCTGCGTCCTCCTAGCACTAACCCCATGCCCGATGTACTAGCAAGATAACGCAAAACCCTCTTAGCGGCAGAACAGTGCTGCGGTCGGTGTCTGCCAGTGGCCACAAAGCGAGCCAGGATGCTGAGAGGGTATGCGAGATCGGGGCGAGTGCAAGTCATCAGGTACATGAGGCAACCCACCAGTTCTGCGTAGGGGCCGCTGGGCTCTACCGACTCCGCAGACACTGGAGCGGAGAGTCTGTGGTCTACAGGCAGAGGGGTGGGCTGTGCAGAGAAGAACTGAAGGCTGAACCTCTGAAGGACCTGGCGCACCAAGTGTGACTGAGTCAGGGTGATGGTGCGCGATGCTCTGTTCTTGGAGATCTGCAAGCCAAGGTAGCGGCGCAGTTCTCCAAGGTCAGTGCACGTGTGTCTCTTCAGCAGCTCTGCCTTCACGGAGGCCAGTGCGTCCCTGTCTGCTGTGGCAAAGACCAGGTCGTCGACGTAAACAAGGATGTAGAACGGAGTCTGGCCAGCACGAACGAAGAGTGAGGGGTCTGCGGAAGACGGAAAGAACTGTAGGTAAGCAAGCGTAGCACGGAGAGTGTCGTG